CATCATCATCATCATCATCATCATCATCATCATCATCATCATCATCATCATCACCATCATCATCGTCACAACCGCCACAAACCAAACCAGCCCTCTTTTTCCTTGTTTTGTTTTTCTTGATGAAGCATAGATCTAACTGTTTGTACTATGTGCATGGCACATTTTTCACAAAAATCAGGAAATAGGACCCCCCAAAAAAGGGGGAAAAAAGCTCACTATGCGTTAACATGGGAGTCAAACCCTCACCACTACCAACGTAATTTCTTTCTCTTGTGGGTGGTTGGCGGGTGCTCTGGTGTGGTTTGTTGATCCTTCTTTTCAACCAAACATTTATTATCCTGATCTTTCCTTCTATGTGTGTGTGTGTGTGTGTGTGTGTGTGTGTGTGTGTGTGTGTGTGTGTTCCTCTCTTGTACTGGCCACCCTACCACATGCCGAAGGCCAAAGAAGTTGTCTCACTAACAAGGCAATCCCCCAATGTCCGGATCAGATGTGGGAACAACTTTTTACTCTCTTGTAAAACCTTTCTTCTTTGCACTTGTATGGTCGCTTTTAAGAACAAGCGGGCTACCTCAGATTTCGGGGGTTTCCAGAAATCTTGACCTGCACCAAAAGTGGACATTTCCCTACTTATAGGAGAAGTTTGATTTCATTGACGTGTATATTTGTTTGAGAGAAAACTCTCCTTGTCTTTTAAAGAAACTGAACAAGGGGCGAAAAACTTTACCTTCGATTTTCTCAAAACAACATTTTTCGGGATAGCCCCCTTGTGCTTAAGAGCCACCATATGGCCTTATTGAGTTGCAAGTGCCGTAAAACTCTTACTAAAAACTAAAACGAAACAGATATTCTTGTTCTAAATGATGACGGTTTTTTTTTTGGTGACAGGGTCATGGAATCCTTCTGGGCACATCTGGCGGCAGGCGCCTTCTTTGTCGTCATAGCTTTGTGGTGGCTGTGGAGCACTTTTCGGGACTACTTACTGTTGAGTAGTAGGACGCATTTGAGTGTGGGGGTGAGTCTGTGTGTGTGTGTGAGGGGGGGGATGGTGGGAGAGGA